TTACTTCACACGGCATTATCATTCACCTTTAGCGACCCTAAAATACATTAACACTCACGTGCTTCTTATTTCGCTAGTCGGATTGTTACACAAGCGTACCGCACGGACCTTTTCACGCCTCGAATAGATCCTATCCCTTCACTACCATCATCATCACGAGATGGCATTGCCTAATCTACGGCGAATATTCAGGTAGGTGGATCAATATATCACGCAAATCAATCAATCTCGGATAGCTCATATCCCTCCTTTATAGCGCCTCTCGAACACCTTTACAGGAAAGAGCAGTCTCACGTCAAGCATTCTTTCGATTCGTTTCATTTTTGGCAAGCTGTGTTTTAATTGCACTTTTAAGCAGTCCAAAAAGAAGGGCTGTCTTGCTAGGCTTAGGAATGGACGCTGCTGCAATGGCTTCTTCAGCTACAACGGCAACTTTGGCTACATAAATCATCACACTTCAATCTCGGTCAAACGAATGTATTAGTATGAAATCAACAAAAAATGATTGACAAAAGTATTAAATCGAAGCAGATGATGGTATTTTTGATTTGATTGTGTGTGTATCTGTTAAAATTGAGCAATTCTTTATTTACTAGCTTGCAAAGCAACTTTTTCACGCAAACATTCCGGGTATGAATTCATCAAATGAGCAAGCGATCGTAAATCTTCCGAATCCAGAAGATGGATAGTGATCTTTGGCGCTCCTTTGAATCCAAAAGTACGAATCTTTTTGAACAACTGATCTCCCAATTTCTGCTTTTGATCTTGTTCGGAAAGATTTTTTAATCCGTCAATGAACGTATCCGTTTCTTTCATGATCGCAGGATCAGCTTTAGGCAAGGGCAGACCAGATGATTGCGGATTTCCAGCAAGGCGTACAATATCGGCAGCAGGCATTTTGGCAAGATCGGATAAGGTATATGTCTTTGTTGAAGTTGCACTGCCGTTTCCGTTTGCAGCATCTCCAGTTTTGACAATCGGCGACGTGGTAGGCTCGCCATCATCGTCATCGCCAAGCTCCAAGATACTCTTTGCTTCTTCCACTTTGTTACGTAGATAATCTTGGTTAAATAGTGCCATTGCTCTCTCTTTCTTCGGTAGACCTGTCAAAAGATCTGTGATATCTTCAACCGGTGATCCTGCAGGCATGAGGTCTTTGACTTTCTCCAAAAGTCGCTCTCTCTCACTTGCTCCGGCGGGCAGATGTGAAGAAGTGATAGATGCAGAGTCGCTCGTCGTAGGTATTGTCAACCCGCCAGGTGCTGCTCCTTGTGAAGAGCGAATCTCGGCAATGCGTTGTTGTAGTTGTTGTCGATCGTTCAAAGCTCCAACAGCATCGACCAGCTTCAATTTGCTAAGCTCTGCAATCAGAGCATCAGCTTGGTCGGGTGAGATGTCATCGATCTCCTTGACTTTGCGACTAAAGCCTCCTCGAAGAATATCACCTCGCAAAGTAGCATTAACGCTTCTTAGCTGTTCTAAATCTAGACCATCACCTTCTCCACTAGCAGCTGCTCGGAAATAGCTATTGCTCATCGGTCTTTGTTTCACTTCAGCACCGTCTGCGCCAATTCCTGATGGGCTGTCGTTAATATCAGATGGTGCACCACCAGATCCGACATCATTGGGTGAATCAGGAACATAAGAAGTTCCAAATTTGTGAGAAAGCTTCTCTTGTCTGAAACTTTTAGGTTCATGTAATCGAACAATCATTGATTTAGATCCATGTTGTGTGCCGTTCATCGCATTCAAAGCACGGGTTGCATCTTCTGCACGACGATAGCTGACGAATCCGAATTCACGACTGACGCCCTTTTCATCTCGCATCACACGTGCTGAGACGATCTTTCCGAATGTCTTGAAAAGTGAAAAGAGTTCATTGGAGTCGATTGCTGGATCCAAATTCTTGCAGAAGAGATTGCAAGGGTCAACCACAGTTGATCCTGTAGAGCCAGAATATTGAAGATTTGTTCCGGGCACATTGAACGTAGATGATCCCAAAGGTGATCCCAAAGGAGAGCCTCTTGGCGGTTGAAAAGAGGGTGCAGCTGCGCTCATCGAACTGAAAGATCCTCCGCCAGGAACAAATGGTGCTGCAGATGCGCTGAAATTTGTACCTTGTGGAGCACTTGGTCTCTTGGCCACATTATCAATTGTGACACTGATCGACTTACCATCTACTTCTGCACAATGCATCTCAGTTTGCGCCCTTTGTGCATCTTCTTCGTCATAATATACGACAACAGCCATTCCGCGGAAACCTGTGTGATGACCTGCTGGGTTTGTGACGATGCGGGTTGCGCTATGTAGTGGACCAAAAGGACGAAATAGATCGAAAACATCTGAGTCTTCCGTTCCATGAGGTAATTGTTTGATCAATCGAGGTTTTGCGCTTGGCTTTTGGTCTTGAGAAGGATCTTCATTGATGGAAAGCTGTGGAGATTGAACGGTAGCGAAAGCCCTTTCCGCTTTTTCCAATGTTTGGAATTCAACACTTCCTTTTAGACGTTGACCTTCGCCTTCGACATTTCGATCGATATGCAAACGAACTGGCAAACATGCTGCAAAGATAGCACTTGCTAATTCTTTATCACTGATATTTGCATCAAGGTCGTGTATGTATAAAGAAGGCGTAGTTAGGTATGGATTTGCTGGAACATCGTCGATCTGATCTAATGGTCCTGTACTGCTACCTGGCTGTTCAGCTTGAGGAGCAAAGATTGATTCAGAGGCCATGTTTGTGTGATGTCAATGATGAACAAAGAAAGAGAGAAAGGAAGGATTGCCACTATATGCATAACCTTCTTCTTTGTCCAATCGAACGGCTGAATATGAGCTAAAATTTGACCATGCTTGGACCGAATTCTTCCTTTTCTTTATTAAAAATAAAATAACGCACTTCACCTCTCAAACACACACGCACATCTTTGTGTCACTTTTTTTGTTTGCCAACACCCATTAGCGCCGAATCTTTGGAAGCAACATTAGCTACAAGGTAACGTGATCACATCCACCATAGGGTGATAGGCCACTTGGTGGTAAGCAAGCATTTTTGATGGGATTGTAGCTATATTATCAGTCGGATAACGTAGCTCGAGCTAGAATTGCATCAGGGAGACAACATGGTAAGTACAAAAGACAAGTTTGATATGCACACGACATTGACATAACTGCATTCATTACACTCTCGCTCAGGTACGACACTCAAAGAACAATACTGCCTCTTCCACATTCACAAAAGCAGAATATGGTAAGCTACGTGATGTCTGGGGAAGCAAGCAAGCTCGATTGGGCTCAGAGTCTATGCGAAGTTTCGATCAATGCGGCTTATGTTTGAATACGGCTGTAAACCCTTGCTTATGCTCCAAAGGTCATCTCTTTTGCAGAGAATGCATGATTACTTCTTTATTGGATCAGAAGCGAGAAATGTTCAATGTTCAAGCATCACTGGATAGATTGGAAAAGGAGTTTGAGCAAGAAAGGATTAAAGCTCGGGAAAAGGCCTTGGCTCACGTTCAGAACAATTTCGAACAAGTAGATTCGGGAATTGGCAGACTCAGAGATCGTTCGGACAGACGTAGCAGAAGTCCCGAGAGAAGGGATGACACCTCAAAGCGAGATCGATCACGCTCAGGAATCGGATCAAGCTCGCTAAGTGATTTACCTGCCCGAATAGCGGCACAAGCAGAAAGGAGACTAGAGGAGACTATGGAACGATTAGCAGAAGAACGAACACAAGCGAAAAGGGCCAAAATTCCAGCCTACTGGCTTCCAAGCTTGACGCCATCCGCAGAGACGAGTAAGGAAGAGATTGTGAAACGTACAGAAGAAGCTCTAAGGAAAGGTCTGGAAACTAAATGCTACATTGGAGACAAGTTCGGACATGTGGTTACGAGTAAGTCATTGGTGGATGTCCACTTTGTCATTGAAACCATACCAAAAGGAGAGCAAGGTGATCGTTCGGATAAAGAGCGTAAGATTTGTCCGAGTTGCAAAAAGACATTGAGCAATGTGAACAAACTTTTTGCCATTAGAAAGTGCGGTCATATACACTGTTCAACATGCATCGACACTCTCATTCGACCGGCATTGAAAGAGGCAGAAAAGGATAAGAAGCTAAGGCCGACGTGCCTGGAGTGTGATGCGCCGATCAAAAGCGATCATAAAGACATCTTACCACTTCAACGTGAAGGTACTGGCTTCACTTCAGCGGGAAATAACGAAGCCAAAACAATGGGCGTATCATTCCAAGGTTAAAGACGGGAATTGTGATGCCATACTTGTATTTTAGCGTTGTAACATATATCGATGTACACTATATTACTTTATTCTTGATATCAGTTAGGCGTTGTGTTGAGTGAGAATGGTGATGCACGCTACCACTTCCCGAACCTCTTCTCAAAGCCATTCACGTGTTTTGCAGTTCAGGCGCGTGAGGAAAAATCCAATTTATGGCGCGTAAAGAGTGGAGACCAACACTTGAACACAGAAGGAAGCAATCAATCATATTACGTATGTACGCTGAGCAGTATTCTTTTGTTGTTACTCCATCACCACCACACTGAAGCTGGTCTCAGCATATTTATTCATCATGATCCAACACTGATATCACCTCGTACAACAAAGGCTTCACCACGATGACTTCATCAGTGGATTCGCACTGCGTTCCACCTTTTTATGCATGTTATTTATTGCGTTCATATGCAACAAGTACATCTGCTCGAACTTATATCGGATCAACTCCAGATCCGGCCAGAAGAAAGAAACAACATAATGGTATATTATCACAAGGAGCTCACAAGACGAAAAGAGGACGACCATGGGAAACGCAAATGCTAGTATACGGTTTCCCAAGCAAGATTGCTGCTCTTCAATTCGAATGGGCATGGCAAAAGCCTCACATGTCAAGACATTTGCGTACGCATCCTCCAAACTCTGACTCGCAACAGCCATGCTCATCACAACAACAACAGCATGTTCCACTTCCGCTTTTCCAAGATACGCCTTTAAACCAGATCGTAATTGGGGAGGATGGATGCAAGCCATTGCCGTGTAGTTCAGTCCAAACGAGCTTATTGGTAGCGCGGGCTTTGCTGAAGAGTGAACCGTTTGCTGGTTGGGGATTACAAATTGTGTTCTTTGAGGAATATTTATGGGCTGCATGGAATCGATTGCAGGCTGCATATCCTACCGTTGCTGCTCATCCAGATGCTAGAAAGGTTGGTCTTTACATCAACATTGATCAGACAAGATTACGCAGAGCTTTACCTCCGCAAGATGTTTCACCCAACACCGTGTGCGATTTCTCAGGCGTAGACAGAGGGAGAAAGAGTATGTTGACATTCACTGAAGGGGAAAGAAATGCGGCTAAACTCGAGACAACCGCCTCCGGCAAAACAAAGGGGAAGGCATCTGCAGAGGCAAAGCCACCCGGTCAGTGGCCAGAGAAGCTGCCAAAGACTTTGAATGTGCGTTCGATGGGTGGTACTTGGCAAATGCTGGAAGCTGCCCCGTACCCTGCTATATCTTGCAGTGAAAGAGGAAAGAAGAAGGAAGCGCTTCAGGAAATCCCCAAAGATCAATCGACCACCTTACCACAATTCCACCTGGACGATGAAGATATGGCCTTCCATTCTTTCAAACGCTTCCGGAGCATATTGGATGCGAGATCACTCTCGGTAGAAGATATTCAACCTTTATCAGCTACAGTGGACAACCGAAGAAATTCTGATAAAGTGCAAAGCAAATGTGGCTTGTGCAGCAAAACTGTCGATCTTCGGGACCACACAAGCTACACTCTTTGTCCTAGTCCGTTTGAAGAACTACAGCCCAAACCGAGCACTTCTACGACAAACAGGAATCGAAGCTTAGCACAGTTCGGCTTTGGTAATCCAACGGCGAACGATCCACCAAGCTCGAATAGAGCAGAGTATCGGCACTGTGAGTCAATCTTCCACATTCGTTGTCTGGCCGAATCGTTCCTCAAACAGAATAATCAGAAAGGAAAGTTTCTATTACCAACACATGGGTATTGTCCGAAATGTTTTTCGACAAACGGGCCATCTGAGACTGCACGCTATACCGTAAGCACATGGAATGAAGTGATTCGATGCACGTTTAGACGACGTGATTACGTTTTACGAGAAGCGAAAATGCTCGATCTTGCAAGGATGAAAGCTGCAAAGGTTGCCATTCAAGGAGCTAAAAAAGTACGCAAGACGACTGCGAATAAAGGCTCAGCTGCAGCCGCCAAAAAGAAGACCACACCTGCAAACACGGCGAAAGAACCTGTTCGTCATGGCGATTCGGAATTGGACGACGAGAGAGATTCAGACAGTGAAAAGGAGAATCACAGCAATACTGTCCCTCGTACGAAAGGTATTGCTACGTCAGTTCCCACAATAGGCAATGGCGGTAAAATCGGTCTGATGAGTATGCTCAATCAAATCGAAGAAGTGGAAGAACCTGAACAGATTAGCAATTTTGCTGCTCTGGCTGCCAAACGCACGGTACCAAGTAATTGGACTCCCTTACCAGCTAGAATTGCCCCATCAGATCGGACGAATGTACAACGCACACCTTCCATTGATCTTCTAGATAGCGATCTTGATAGCACTTCACCGACAAAATCTGCAATACCATCAACGATCAATAAAAGATCGGCACCTCACAGACTGCCCGCTAATGTGGACGTGATCGATCTGACTTAATGTACGATATCATCCTTGTACCATAGACAATCATCCTTAATCAAAACCGTTTGATCATATCTATAGTGTCATAAATTGAGCTAATAATAAACATATCCGACAAAAAAAGTCTTGTCTCTATCGAGTGTAGGATTGATAGAAGGGGGAATCTAGCAGCATATTGATGCGAGCGAATTTATGCCTTTGCCTTGCGAACGGATTCGATTGGGATTTCACCAGAGATGATCTTTTCGACCATATCTTGAATGACGCTCCAATCCTTGAAGAGAGTGTATTTGATGTTGTATTTGTCACAGTAAGTCTTCAAATCGTTGTCTTGTTTGTCTTTCACGAAAAGGACATCAGCATGTCTTGCAGCAGACATGTCAGAGATACCATCACCGGCAAAGAACAAAAGAGGAGGGTTTGGCAATTCACGGTAAGGCAAGATGCTTAAGCTCTTATCGTGTCCAAAGTGGTTATCAGGGTGACGGTAAACCAATTCCCAAGTTTTTCCTTCTTGTTCAGGGTCTGTCAATTTAACATCGTTTGCAATAACGTCAATCTTGTTTGCTTCTTCATCACCGATCAAGTTTGCAAAGATTGAACGTAAGATAGGTTCCATTCCACTGGAAACGACAATGATTGGAATATCTTGCTTCTTTGCATATTCATGGAAATCTTTGAATTTTGGGTCCAAAGTAACATCACGACGAACCAATTCTTCCATTTCCTTTAGTGGTTTGTGAACGGATTCCAACATGGTACGGAAACCTTCACGATAAGATACACGTTCATGAATGATTTCTTCGTTAATCTTACGACGTTCAGTGTAACCCATTCCGGCAGTATCGACCATATGATCGTTTGAGTCTAACATTGTGATTGTACCGTCGAAATCGGTCAAGAAGACCATCTTCTTATCAGCGTATTTCAAGTGATCAGCCATTTTGTTTGATGATGTATGAGGTAGGGGGTAATGGGATAAGAGAAGGAAGAGGTTCGTGTATTCCATTCAAGACATTCTCAATTCTTCTCGCTAAAAGATTCCTTCCCTTCGATTCAACTTCTCTCCGTCTTGTTCCCCTTTAGTTATGCATTTGATCAGTGTTTTATTGATCTCTTTGAGCGCACGGGCACTTGGCTCGATCGACAGAGGTACATGATTTATCAAGACGCGCTTTAGTGTGCGTACCAGACCCTAAGTGACATAACAAACACACACACAAGGCAAATCAAACTTTTGGGAAATTCAATTCGTATGCAGGTCATCGTGCATTTGTTTCACACTTTGAGGCGTATCATCAGATCGGCGTTCTTGGAGTACGCGTACGGGTCTTAATACAAAGGCAACCGGGGGCTTGGCTTATTGATAAAAACAACTTTGGCGTATTCAGATTGCCATTACTACCTTATGGCTTCTTCTTCACCATCAGGATATGCAACGAAGAAGTTGCTGGAATATCATGGCTCTACTTTCTATTGCTCCTTCAGCAGACATTTGATGATAATTGATCCTTTGCAAGACTTCATCTCAACAATGACAGTCGGACGGCGAGATGTGGCTTGTTAAGCCAATGATTTTCTTAACGCCAACATACACACTGCCACTTAGCAAAACTATTTACGCCTCTCGTCTTGTTTGTCTTGTTATGACGCAGCTTGGCAGTATTTGCATTCATTTGCCTCTGCGGGGCAACGCTATCAATCATGTGTAATGCTCATGAGGCCGAATCATCTCGGACGCCAACGAGTGTAAATTTGCGCATACAGCCGACGACTATGCGTTCAAATGGTGGCTGTGAACTGAAGTAATACTTAAAATGGGATGGTCGTCAGACTTGTGCTCTGTCTTTTCATCCTCATCTCTCTTTTAATCTTTCAGCAGGTTTCTGATTGATACACAAGAGTTCGTTCTTCTTTTCGTGCAGGCACGATGATGCGAGTCAAAAGTTTCCCATTATCTGGCCAGGTGCCAAAAGCCGTCATTGCTCTTTTGATGGTACTAAGCTTTATCTCTTGTGCAACACTCACTCGTCGCGATCAACACATCTTTGAGCTGGCTCAAAATGATAATAATCGTCAAATGTCGACCTCCATTGCTGACCCCACAACTCAACTCTTGGGAGCGCTGTTAGAGAACACTTCTGATAATCAAAAATCTTGGAGAAGTGCAGACGTGGTAGAAACATCTTCAAATGGACCAATCGTGATTTATGCATCCGATCACGACAATCCTGATATTCGCACACCTACTATCACAGAAATCGTTTCTTTTGGCGAGCAAGATGTCGATTCTGACCTTGGTCATGTTCAACGATCTTGGCTAGACCGTAATCCAAAATCTCGAAACTTGATCGCTACCGGCATTATGGGCTCTGCGATCGCATATGCTCTCACATCTGTACGCAAAGCTTCCCATATGGACCCCGTTCCTGATTCTGTGCAGCATGCATTGGCAATGGTCAATCCGGTTGCAAAGCCTGTTCATAAGGAGAATATCAAGCGTGATGAAGAACTTGATTCGCCTTCCTTTGTCAAAAGAGCTCATGGTCGTTGGCGTGCAGGTGCTTTGGGTGCTGCTCTTGGTGGATTTGGAATGTACATTCATTCAAATAAGCTGGTACCTGATATCAAAGAATCCCTGTGGCCTTCTCGCAATACCAACGGTAACGGTAAACGGGGCATTACGGAAATCATCTTTGTTCGTGACGATGATGAAGAAGTTGAAAGTGATTGTCCTCAAAAGAGAGCAGGCGGAAAGAATCTTGCTTATCCTCTGTATGCAACTGCGGCTGCTGTGGGTCTATATGGTTTGCACAAGTACAACAACGGTGGCTTCCAAACTCAAGCTCAAACTACTTTGCAAAAGCGATCCGTTATACCCGAAGAGCCTGAAAAAGATGAGATCCAACTTGAACGTCGTGGTAGAGGCTGGAGAGACACAGGCTCAATGAACGCTCGCGTCATGATCTCACCCTCGCACAAACAGGTCAAAGTATACTGGCAAAGTGGTGGCGTTGTTCGCTTTGATCGTCAGGTGAACAACCCAAATGGCGGTAGCTCAGGCGACGAACAAGGTAATTGGAGAACGGTTCAAAGTTTTGGAGCAAGAGCATTTTTGCCCAAGGATCGTGGACAATTGAAAATTATCTGGAGATCTGGTAATATCACCATGTACAATCGCAATGGAGGCGGTCAAGGAAATTCTCCTCCACCTAGCAACAACAACGGCAGCAACAATAACAATAATAACAACGGTCCTAATTCTGGTGACTTTAGCCAACCGAATAGTGCATTTTCTAGTTTGCGCATGCGTGGCCATCAAGGTTGTGCATCTTTGACTTGGCTCATTATGTTTGCTTTGACTGCTTTTTTGACATTAGGCAGTGTTTCTGCAGACGATGGCGAGGCTTTTGACGCTCTCGCTCGCTCTCCCGGCTTGGAAAAGAGACAATTCCTCTTTCGGAGGGCAAACACTACTCAAGGCTGGACAGGCGTTCATCATCTCGACGCAGAATCAAAGATCTCGCCTACTCATAATCTCGTAAAAGTGATTTGGAATTCTGGCAATGTGACTACCTACAATCGTACCGATGGTCAAAGTCCACCTGTTTTGCCGACATTTGTTCTTCCAGACGATGAGCCAGTGATGTGGAGAACGGTGAAAAGTTATAATGCAAAAACTCAACTTTCAAACGATCACGAACAATTGCGTGTTATTTGGAATTCTGGCAACATCACCAATTTTGCAAAACTACCGCCCAATCCTGAACAGCCACCACCGCCCAACCCGGTACAACTTCGGAGTCAGATAAACAACGTGATCCCTTTACCGGGACCCAAAAGCACAGACAACGACTCTAATGATAGTCCACCCAATAATGCAACATCGAATTCGGGTTTGCGTAGCAAAGCAGTCGGCAATGTTGGCATTGCAGGTCTGCTTCTTTTTTGGTGTGTATTCTTCCTATTCTCTGGTGATGTTTTGGCGGGTGAAAGCACAGAAGATAGAATCAATTCTGCTGATCTTGTTAAGCGTTCAAATGTCCTTGCAGCACAAACGCATCTGGACAACATGCCCGTAACAAAACGATCGAGATTACAGGCTGGTGAAGAAGAAGGCAAGAATGCTTTGGTTCGACGTGATCGTTACAGCGGCTGGACTCCACTTTCCGCCATGCCGGCAAGGTCTTTCATTTCACCGTCACATGATCAGCTCAAGATGGAACGTCAAGGTGGTCAAGGTCCCGAAATCTTCATTCGCGATAAAGACACAAATGGTCCTCCACTTCCACCAAACCATCAATGGCAACGGTTACGTGACATGAATGCAAAAGCAAGACTTTCGCAGGACGAGACGAGGATTGCTGTGAGATGGAACAGTGGTTCAATAACCGAATATATCAGAAGATCAACGTTGCAGAAACGATCTTTGCCTGAAGAGGACTCTTTATCCTCACACAAGCATCGTTTCCATCGTCGTCATGTTTCAACAACGGCCCATGATTCACACGAGCATACTGCCAAAGATTTTCAGCTTGGTCGTGTTTCTCCTCCAAGCCATCATAGGAGCTACGATCAACGAAAGGCGCAACAAGCCCAGGCCGATGCCCGGGCGAAGAAGCATCATAAAAATTCTGCTCACGGCAATTTGCGCAGAGGTGGTCTTGGTATGAATGATGGTGTGTCTTGGGTAATCGTTTTCTTTGCCTTTTCAGTTTTGTTTTTTGCAAGCGTTTCAGAGGGCAGTGAACTGGAAGTAGCCGGGAATGATCTAGCTTCGGATTTTATGGCTAAGCGACAATTTACACAGCTTGCTGGTGCTTCGTCTGTTTCTTCTCCTTCTTTGAGTGGTAATGTACCATTGCTGTTCAATTCTGTTCAATTAAGTTCAATTCCTCATTCCACACTTGGCTCAATTCAAGGATACAAGAGCAATACAGCACGTAAAGCCTTACGTGAAAGTCCACCACCAGAACCATCTCAAGCTAAACCTGCTTCGCGAAAATCTCGCTTAAGAACAAAGAGAGGACCAGGAAAGTCGGCTATGGCAAAAAGAGAGGTGGGTAAAAATGAAGTAGCTGATGAGAACCTACTATTGAAACGATCTATTGCAACCGTGTCCAGCTCAGCTCCTTCTAGCGCTCCGATGAGCTCGCCTGCCTATGGTAATACGCAATCATCCACGGCTTTTACTCAAGACAATTGGCATGATGGCAACCCAGGCAAACCTTCACAACCGAGAAATTCCGTAGCTATTCACGAAGAGTTCGCTCGACAATACGGGAGAAAAGATGGCATCGAAGATTCACGCAGAGAACTTAAAGGAGGAGGTCATGGAGGCGGAGGAAGGGGTATCCCCAAAACTGGCCGTGGTGGAGGCGGCAAGAAGAGTGCAGCCGCTGGAAGTTCAACGAAGAATGCTGCTTTGCTGGCAGGAGGTGCCGCTGTTGGTACAGCAATGGCACTAAATCAAGGCGGTGAAGGAGGCGGTAATGCACCGTCATCGAAGAAAGTTGGTGGAACCACTGACGCAAGATCCAAAAAATCAAGACTCAGAAACAAGATGATGTCCGCAAGGAGTTTGCAAAACGAAGAGCTTTCTCAGCTTCTCATCAAGCGAGCTGACATTCCAAGCGACTTCTTCCTCACCAAACGATCTGTTGCAACGATATCCAACACGCTCGCTCCTTCCAGCTCTCCAGCCAATCCGCCTGCTTATGGAACTTCGCAAACATCTACAGCTTTCACTCAAGACAATTGGCAGGATGGCAATCCGGGCAAACCTGCAAGACCGAGAAATTCTGTTGCTGTCCACGATGACTTCGTTCGTCAATACGGAGGAAAGGATGCTATTGATCATCTACATCGAGAGCTCAAAGGAAGCAGTGGAGGTGGCAGCTCTCATAGCGGTGGTGGTAGTTCTCGTGGTGGTGGCAGTAGCAGTAGAGGCAGTAGCAGTAGAACTCCTAGCTCACGCTCACGTCCATCACCGCCAACTACTTGTCGAGACAGATATGGAAGACTTACCAGTGATTGCTTTGACTCCAGTGCGGGAAAGGGCAAATCAGGTAGTGCAGCTTTGATGGCAGGCGGAGCAGCTGCTGGTACAGCGATTGCTTTGTACCGAGGTGGCGGTGGTGGAGAAGATACGCCATCGCAGAAGAAAAAAGGTGGATTTGCTGATGCTAAATCAAAGAAGTCAAGATTGAGAAAGCAAATGATATCGGAAAGAAACTTCCAAGATGAAGATTTATCGATGCTTCTTGTTAAAAGAAACTTTCAATCCGACTTTGTTTCTGTCAGCAATTTTTCTATCCTGAAACGATCGATCACGCCCTCTTCGGGACAAACGCCACCCCTGTCTCAATCGAATCTGCCTTCTATGGCCAGCAGCTCTACTTCATCGGGTCTTCCAAGAAGACTTGCTGATCATCACGCAGAACAAGTCAGACATTACGAAACTCTTGCAAAGGAATATCCTGTCAACCGTCAAATGTTCGATGAAAAGAGAGCATCGGTCCGTGATAGCCAACTTCCAAGTCCTTCAAAAAGTGGAGATTCAGGAGCCGAACCAAAGCCATTAAAGACAATCAAAGGTAGGAAGTCACATGCACTCGCCACAGGTCTAGTAGCAACGGGAGCTGCCGGTGTCGCGGGAGCCGAGGTACACAGAAGGATGAGAAAAGGTGCTGAAAGGAAAGGAGGTGTGAGAGGAAGGCGAGTACGATTTGCAGGGATCGATAAGAGATCACTCTTGAAAGATGGAGAAGGACAAGATATAAGCACATTTTTCAAACGCTCAATCGTGCCTTATACAGGTCAAGCAATGTCCAAGTCAGAAGCACCTTTGCCATCCATCACGAACAAGCCTACTTCTTCTACCTCATCTGCTTCAGGTTTGTACGATGTCTGGCCAAATGGACAACCAGGTGCACCAAAGGATCTTGGTGCTCATCATGCTCGTCAAAGGAATGAGTATGAAAGGTTGATTCGACTGCCATCCAGTGCAAGACCATCAACTGCTCAATCACCTCAGAAAAATTCAGTTTCCAATGTTGGTCTCGCATTCTCCTCCACCGTGGCAGCAGCAGGTATTGCAGTTGCAGGATATCCAATAGCATACCAGTATATCGATAGGAACCGAAGGAGAAGGGCCAGACGTGAACAAGCAATGAACAAGCGTACTATCGAAATCGACGAGTCTGTACAAAGTGAAGATGCGCGATTGCTCCCTCGGATCAACCCTCCAACAGGCAAGATGGAGAAAGCGCTTTTGATTGGGAGCAGTGCACTCTTAGCAGCAGGCGGCTTAGTTGCAACAAAAGCAGTTTTGACACCTCCTAAACCTATCGGTGAGAAACGTGATCTAGATCAAGTGGATGAATCGGCAAAAGATGTTTTAATGGAACGTAGTCCAATTTCAGCTGGTGCGAAAAATCTCATGATCGGGCTTGGATCTGCAGCAGGAGTAGGAGGCCTGACCTTACATGCCTTGAACAGGGATGCAGTCCACAAAGACAAAGGGTACGGCGTTGGCAAGATTGCCGATCAAGTTTGGTAAATTCCTTTGATGATACACATCATTTCACTTTTTTGTTCATGTAATGACTATATTCCTCTTTCATACATCATGTCAACTCCAAAAGTAATCGAAATACACTTTCGTTACCATTTGATTAGTGACTTCTCTGAATTGCGTTAGCTGACGTCTTTGCATTCTAGTTGGGTGGCTTGCACTGCTGTAATCGTGATCATTGCCTTGTGATATGAATGTGCATTTGTATATTGCTATTGGCACAGCATACCACTCAAATCACGTAATTGCTCTTTATACGATTGCGTACCACAATTCGGGGCTAAAAGATGGCTATGACTAATACTGCTGACATGCATTGTTGTTGCAAAGTGCAATCCCAACAAATGATCAGATAACAATAGCATAACGATCGCGATTGTATATGCTTGCAGTTGATGCTGAATGCAGGAAGAGGGCTGTGCTCGTAAAAGTATAAATGCCTATTTGTTTCTATATCTACCTTGTATTATTCTTGAATCCAATCTCTATTCAATTTCCTTATGTCCTTCTGCTACGTCAACATGGAAAGAGCAAATTCGCTCTCAAAAGCAAGTGTGGCTCTTTCGCTCATGCTGTTTTTGTTTTTAACTAGCAGTTCTTTCGCATTGGCTACTCCGAACCGTGATCATTTTACTTTTGAGCTGGCTCAAGACAATGTACAACCGATTGCATCGGCAAATTTAATCATCATTTTTGAGAATGACGGTCAAACTACTTTACGAGACCCTTGGGCTCTTCCTTCTGTTGCACAGGTAGAAAGAAACATCAAAGCTCGCGCTGCAAGTCCACGTTTGGCTGATTATGAGCCAATCAGCAAACGATCAATTGTACAAGGTGGTGGCGGAGCACATGTGCCTTCTTCTTCTGGATCTACTTCTCATGCTACATTTAATCATCCATCAACCAATTCTGCATCTGCAGGTGGTATGCATGATAAGTGGCCCAATGGAGAGGATGGTGCACCGAAGAATCTCGGAGCACTTCATCAAAGACAGAGAAGTTTATATGACCGTCCACCTATCGTCCCTACCGAGCCAATTCCACTAATTCCGGTAGCACATGTGCCTTCGTCTTCGCCATCCCCTTCACCTGCGCCTGCGCCCTCGCCTCAAGCTGGAAATGAAGATAAATTACATACAGGTAGTAAAAGGGTAGTGCCTAAGAGACCAGTTCCAAAGAAGAAATCGGCTGCATCAAGTTCTGATACGGGCAGAGCGGCAGCTGTCGCTGGTTTGGCTGCAGGAGCAACAGCTTTGGCATTACATCAAGGTGGAACTGGGCAAAATAAAGATCGCAAAAACAACAAAGGTGGTTATAGAGGACGTAAAATTGATAAAAGCCGTTTACGCCAAAGCAATAATGTTAAACGTTCCCTTCAATCTTATGATGCTGTGGCACCTACTGCCTCAACGGGTGCAACATATGTACCTCCAATGAATCATCGTTCAAGTACGACATCCTCTATTGACTTGTTTGGATATTGGCCAAACGGCGAAAGAGGTGCACCTATCACATTTCCTGACCGTGAAAAAGCAAAAGGTCAAGACATGGGTCCAACGAACAGCCATGGGAGTGGTCTGCAACCAAGACATGTTGCTATTGGTGTTTTAACGTGCGCAACTGGTATACAGTGCTATAGGGTCGCAAAAATTGCACGACAAACAGGGTCTAGACTTCGTATTAGCGGTTTAGAGCAAGCACAACAGAGAACTGGTCCAAGACGAGGTCGTCGAATCAATGCAACAACAGGTGCAAATGAATTGGTAAAACGTGAGAACTACATGACCCTGATTGAATGATCTTTTGTAATTTCATAGCCAAGACATTTCATGTACATGTTTGACCAGGCAAACTGGTAGCGACTTGGTACTTTTCGAAAAATGATCATTTTTTTTCAGCTGTTACGTCCGAATTGTGTGCTGGAAGATGCTGTACCTATACGTAGAGAAGCCACGGATGTGACCACATGATATGAAAATGATCGGGGAGTATTCAAGGCAGTAAGGCTTTAAGCGAGCACAGATGGAGCTTAATGCTTGGCAGTATTTTGAAAGCTCCGTACGCAATAATTTGTGTGTTAGAATGAGACATGAGTACGCAAAGATCTTACAAGCCAATCGCCAGGTATCTCATCAAAAAGTAATCGAAAAGATGTTTTTAATAATTTACAACTACTTCTTAGCCTTGATAAATTTCTGGTAGTTGCTAGCTGTTGACCATTAGTGGATTTTCATGTAAAACAAAAGATATTATGATTCTCACCATGTAAAACATTGAAAGGCGCAAGGCAGATCATCGCCTCTCGGCAGATACTTCTAGATATTGTCACAGCTCTTCGCTTGGAAAATATCCACTTTCCATTTCCAAGACCCACACGCGGGGCAAGTTGTATTTTACATGACCTAATCATGCTTACGTTTTGTTAGCAATATAGTATGAAGCAGAATGCAAGACGGACCAATACGATGACAAGTCAGTCGTCAACGGCCAAATACTTTCACAACTCATATGCATTCCCTTTCCTGCGATGTGATTGGACAAGTATGAGGCTGTGATCGCAAGGGTATATATAGAAAGACTTCTCTCCACCTCGAGAAATATTTTTTTCTTCATCCCTTTTCCTACATTGCACAGTGTGCAATTGTTCTGGAAGGGCACTTCTTATCATACACTTTAGCATCATGGCTCGCTTGAAGTTTCTTAGCATTCCTAAAATGGCGCCTGCGATTACAGCAATCGTCATGATGCTCATCAACATCTCCTTTGCTGTAACAAATGACCGTGAAAGCTTTGGTTTGCAACCATTGCTTAAACGAGCAATGGTTCAAGCTCATGATGGCAATAATTTCGGGACTTCATCCGTTTCTCCCGCACATGCTGCTACTGGTTTTTCTTCAACGGATAATGCTTCTGCTGGTGGAATGCATGGCAAATGGGCCAATGGACTTGATGGCAAACCGAAAGATCTCAAAGAATATCATGCAAGTCAAAGAGCACTTTATGAAAGTCCTCCTGCACCGTCAAGCAACACGGACAAGCATGGTAGAAGTTTACGAACACGATACTCGGATCAAGGTCCAATCGGTCCAGTTTCATCAAATACCGCTTCTCCATCTTTATCACCATCGCCCTCGCCAGCACCAGCGCCAGCTCCTAGACAAGGTTTTGAACGATTTCCTGATGAACCTTATCCTCCTCCATCAAAGGGTGGATCTGGAAGAAAATTGTCAGGATCCAAAAAGAGCCGTTTGCGTGTAAAGGTGGGTCCCACAAACAAACGGTCATTTGAAGTAGAAGAAACAGAAATTATGGTCAAACGCTCACACCGTGAAAGCTTTGACATGCAACCGATGATTAAACGTGCAATGGTGCAAGCTCACAGTGGTAACAATGCCGGCTCTTCGTCTATTAATGTCGCACATTCTGCTACCGGTTCTTCTTCTTTTGACCATGCTTCAGCCGGTGGTATGCACGACAAGTGGCCCAATGGACTTGATGGCAAGCCAAAAGATCTCAAAGCTTATCATGCAAGTCAAAGAGCAATGTATGAACGACCTGTCATTCCAACCGAGCCTATTCCATATACTCCAAAACATTCTAGAATTTCACCTTCATCCTCTCCTTCGCCTTCACCTGCACCATCACCTGGTCCAGCAAGCAGTCAAAAAAGCCATGGTAGGAGTTTACGACCACGTTACTCGGATCAAGGTGATATTAAACCAACAAATGGGCCACCGGTAGGCGGCTCAATGGGGTCCTATCCTCCAAGTCCCGCTCATGGTAGAGACCGTTGGGCCGATGACGGTTGGAAAACTTCAGGATCCCCAGCATCAGCGCCAAGCTCTAAAAATGGAAGACCAAGAATGCCCGATGAACCTTGGCCATCTGCAACAGCCCCACCTCCAGCAAAGGGTGGAAGTGGTAGGAAACTATTAGGTTCTCGAAAGAGTCGTTTGCGCGAAAAGTCGGGTTCTATGAATAAACGAGAATTCACAGTAGAAGAAACAAACACGATGGCTAAACGTTCAGTGGTTCCGGCTAGTGGAAGTGCGGCTGGTGGCAGTGGTGGTGTTGCAGCTTATTCGGGTACGAATGCTCATTCAACTTCACAATCCGGTAATTATGGTACTTGGGCAAATGGAGAAAGCGGTAGACCGATTCATCCAAAAGAAAGAGTTCTTTTCCACCCGTACGTACAGGCACCGTCCCCATACCAAATTGGCGGGGGGTCATCAGGGTCAATTCCGGATTTCAAAAATCATGCACCTTCTCCTTCACCTGCTTCGTCACCGGCACCATCACCGTCTGGCAGACGTTTGTTGGCCGAGAAGCCATCGAAGAAATGCCGTTTGCGTGGCAAATGCTGAAGCATTCATTCAACAAAGTGAAGGAGTAAGCTTTGATGCAGGCATCAAATTATTCCAATCTTATCTTTTATCTCGTTTTGACTTTCTTTCTATCATTTGTATTGTTGTTTTTGATAACTTCTTTCTCATAACGATTTCATTTCTCTTTACCAATTGTTTGATCTGAAGAGTGATGATGATGTTCTGTCGGAGACTTTTACACCACTCCGAACGCGCAGCGCCTTAAACAACAAACAACCGCCAATCAGACTAAAAAACCCTTTGCTTGCTCCACTTAGATGTCGGCACCAGAACTGATTCAGATTTGTGTGTTTTTTTGGGGGGCAGAAATTAAGACTGCAAAACAACACACACACAGATACACACACGTCGGCGCTTGAGTTAAAGGCGGAAGCGAACGTGAATGAATGGAATGCATGCTTCTTCAATGATGAAATACAATGCAAAGGGTAATGGCATAGACACCGTGTGCTTTAAAACTACCACCACCAACCCGACATGTCAAAGGTTGTATCAAGTCTCTCATACAAGTTGTCAAAATAAAACTTAGTGGTGGGTAAAAGACCGGTCAACGATGCTGGGAGGATCATCATACCATCATGCTCAAGCAACAACAGCTCGTGGTGGGGCTTGTGCAAGAGGTATAACCAATACAGGACTATCAACGCGTTTGAGAGGTCCAAATTTGAGCCTTCAACTTGCTCTGATCACAACCGTTGCAGCTGCTTGGCTACATCATGCTAGAGTATCATCTTTGGCTTCTTCGGAAAAAGCCAATAACTCAACATCAAAACGTACCCATTTGCATACAAACATTGTCACCCTACATCAGAGCGGAATTTTTAATCAACGTAACAGATACAATTCAACCCGCAGAAGACAAGTACGTTCCTTTACAACTGCTTCGGAATCAAAAGCAAATGAACACGATGAAAGCAAAGATCCTTTCCCATTTGACCACAAACAGACAGACTCTTCCAAAGACTCTGTAGCGCTCTCTGATACGGAAGACATTAATGAGCTCATGCGTCATCCAGCATTACTCAATCACATCAAAGCACCTCGTAATCCGATCATCCTCTGTCATGGCTTGTATGGCTTTGATGTTCGAGGCCCATTTTGGGGTTTAGAAATTCACTATTGGGCAACCGTTTTGGATATTCTACGAAAAAAGGTTGGAGCAGATGTGATCGTTAGAGGCGTTCCCGGAACAGGTGCGATTGCCGATCGAGCGGAAGCTTTGCATAAGTATTTGTGTAGCGAAGAAGCAGGAATCAAAGGAAAACAAGTCAACTTTATCGGTCATAGTATGGGTGGCTTAGATGCTCGTTATCTTATCAGCGTTCTCAAACCTGCACCTGAACAATATACCCCGATCAGTTTGACATCCCTCAGTACGCCACATCGTGGAAGTCCGTTTATGGATTGGTGTAATGCAAATGTTGGAACGGGAAATGATCGTGTTGATGCAGAGATCCGGGAGGCTAAGCAAAGGCAGCAAAGGAAAGGATTCGGCACGTTAACAAATACTGCAGAACAGAAAGAAGAAGAAGATTTTCAAAAGCATGAAATTTCCAAACCACCGTTCAGTTTAAAATCTCCGCTTTTTGTTCGTCCATCATCAGCGGCAAAAGGAAAAGGTGTAGAAGTGAACGAAGGAAGGACGGAAGAAAAAGAATCAGTAATAGGTGAAATACTGAAACCGGTCATCTCCGGAGTTACGGCTTCAATTGTACAACAGGCTACCTCACCAAGCTCTACTGCATCGTTAAACGTTCAAGCAGTCAAAGATGGTGCGAAAGAGTCGAATGAGGAAGCCAAGCCAGATACAGATCAAAAGGAGTCAGGAAAGAAGAAGAAGAATGGAAAGGATTCACCTTTGATCGACTTTTCCCTTTTCAATCGTGCATTGTCTTCGATCGGCGGATCATTTTCATCTTACATGCTTTCTGTTCTTGATCAGCCAGCGTATGCTATGCTTTCAACACGATATATGGCCCAAGTCTTCAATCCAACTGTGCCCAATTCTCCTGATGTTGCTTATTTCAGCGTAGCATCACGGAAGAGAAGCTTGCCAATCTATCATCCTTTATGGCTTCCAAAGCTAATCTTGGACGCAGCAGCAGAAAGTAGAACTGCTGGTGGTGAACGTGATGGTAGTGCAGATGCTTTGGGAAGTAAATCACAAGGAAATGATGGATTGGTCTCAGTGGAAAGCGCAAAATGGGGCAAGTTCTTGGGTATAATTGATGGATGTGATCATTGGGACTTACGTGGAGGAGGAGCGCCAAGATGGAAAGGAAAGGTGAACCCACAAACGGGTAAACCATTACCGGTTGATGAGAGTAAAGAGAAACAAAAGATAGAAGCGGCAAATGAAGAAAAGAACAAAAAGGAGAAGGATAGTACATGGAATGATATTAATCGGATCGTTAGGAATTTAATCAGTAGCAAAGATAAGGAGTCGGGTCAAGAGGCAGGAAAGCAAGAAGAGAAAACATCAGAGCAAACAAAGCCGGAAGAAAAGGATGAGAAAGACTCAACTACACTTAAGGACGTGATCGCATCTGTCGTTCCTTCTAAGTCATCTAAAAAGAATGATGACGAAGGATTGGTTGATGAGGTTGCCAATTGGATTTCAGACCGATTGCCGGAAGGCAATCAAGAGCGTAGGGCCGAAGCAGAAAGAGCTGCTGATGAATATGCTAAAGAGAACCCTTCATTCGGAAAGAAAGAGCAAGAAAATGGCCAACAACAAAAACAAGTAACAAACGAAGGCCGAAAGGAAAACAAATCTGAAGTACCAAATGAGAAGACAACGGCCGATTTCAACAATATGAAATTATCTGTCAAATTGCGTAGGGATGCAGCATGGCAAGAAGAATTGGGACATTCGGAAGCCGCTCAAGAATTACGTAGAGAATTGGCATGGCATAAAGCAGAATGGGATCGTGCTTTGGCTTCCGGAAAGGCACCCGCATCCGTTGCAGAACGCTTACAGAGAAACAGTCAATCTTATCCGTCAAGTGGAGAATTGGATTGGGATGCACATGCAAAAAATCGATCAATGTACAATACAAGCAATTCCTCAAATGAAAAGCAGAAGCCCGCTCAAGTATCATCTGCCGATGAACTTGAACGTTTCTGGGTCGCACTCTGCCGTCACCTTTGGGCTCATGGATTCTAATCTCACACAAACTGTAATCTCTTCACAGATCCTTTAATACTGCAATTAGACCTGCTCTAATAGATCTCTCCGCTTGTCAACACACATTGTACAGTCGAATTTGAGTGAAATGCAAATCATTCTTTTGGGCATGATGCTTATAGTGAAATGTGTACATGTGTGTGTACTCGTGATAGGTGCACATTGTGAACCGACACGTATGTATGTTTGTATGGTCTGTGAATGAAGATGCGAGAGGCGTTTGTGTATCATACATGCATACACGTTTGATCGTTTGTTGACGATCAAACGCATAGCTGCTCACGATGGAGGCTTAAAGACTTTTGAATGTCTATTTCGTGCACATTGTGAACATTAGATTTAACGACGACCAGCACCTGGAACGTTGCGTCTTTGTCTTTCGGGTTGTTGGAAAGCAGCAACTGGTCCGGAAACGGAGACTGGCAAACGGTCAAAGCCAGCAGCGTTCAACATCTCCTTGGTGTCGGCATCAACTTCCAAACCACCCAAAGCGGAAACGTCCAAAGCAGAGACTTCGGGAACGTATTGATCCTTACGTTCACGTTCTTCTTCTTGCAATTTGAAACTGATACCACGGACAGGTCCCTTTTGAATACGCTTCATCAAGTAAGTAACGTAACCGGCAATCTTGTTACGGAGACGCTTGCTTGGGATGATGGCGATTTCATCAATGGTTCTCTTGTTGGTGTGGAAGTCAGCGGCTGACAAACGAGGGTAGTAACGCTCGATGATGACTGTATGGTAAGAGAGGTGTAGAGATGGTAAGCATTATGTCCAAGAAATGTGAATGGTATGTTTCGAAGTGATTGTCGATCCGTGTATGAATCCTCGCCTCAACCGCTATTCATCCATTGGCAATCTCCATCAAACAGTCCCTTCGAAGCAGCTCTCTCCCTATCATGATACCCTCACTCCCATCAACTTTCTTCTTCCCCCACTAAAACGTCTCTGACTCGGTTTCGATCCCTCTCTTTCGCTGTCGATATCGAATCGATTCATCTCCTTCATCGTGACACTTACCGCGCGAAGCACGCTTTGTGGTTTTTGTACGAACGCGACCCATTGTGACTGATGTGTGAAGTGAGAAAGGAAGAGGTTGAAATGATTGATGATGGATCGTATACGTTCGTTCATTCACTTATTCCTGTCAAGCGTCCATTCCTCTGAGCCTGTGCCCAAAGACTTCTTCGCGCATTAACATAAATTTGTACTTGAGCTGCTAAAAGCCTTCGTACAGACCGGCCGATGAATACAGCGTAAAGAGCCAATACGCGCGAACATCTGCTTGAAGCTCTTAGGCTGTCTTGCAAGCAGCAATTGTTGCAGACTGCGGATCACGTGAAAGTTTACCGCGGTTGCCTGACTCTCAGTTTTGACGCGCTGCTTTAGACGCTGCAGCAGCTTTGAGGCCTTTTAAGCCTATCAAGCAGTCTCGTGAACGCAGCCGTTCAAATTAGGCATGTGCTGCGAAGAATCGATCAATAACAAGTGCAATTCCGTTGTAGTCGATTTGGCTGCAAGAATTGAAGACTAGAACTGCCAGACAATCTACTGTTCATCTTCTTCCTCATCACGTATCATCCTCAAGCTGACCAAATAAAGGTGAGTACCTATTCGATAACAGTGACTTTGGACGACGAGCGATGTACGATCTAGCTAGGCGATGCATTCATCGAAGGGGAAATGATTTGAAGATAGGAGGGGCAGTATGATCGACAATGGCAGAAGATTATGATGGGATTGAGATGTGACGACATGCTATTTGTGAAGGGACAGTCTTCGACAAAATCGACATAAAGCAACGAAGAGCGACGACTCAGATCGATCTCGATGTATCTCGACGTCAAAGATCAGCGATTGACGATTGAAACGTATCGCCTTTTGAATCATTTCAGGCCAGCTATCGGCATTCTCGCCCGTTCGTCACCTTTTTCATTTATAGCTGGTCGGAACAGAAGACTGATCATAGCTTCTGCACCCGTCCAGTAGGAATCTATCTCCCTCTTTAACAAGATAATAATCAACAAATATGGTTCGCGTTTCAGTTCTTGTGAGTATTAACATTTGTGATTTATACAAAACTATCACTGAATAGGCCGCTGACATTATGGAGTCTTCCTCCATTCCCTCCAGAACGATGCTCTCAACTCCATCGTCAACGCCGAGCGTAAGGGTAAGAGACAAGTCTTGATCCGCCCTAGCTCCAAGGTTATCCTCAAATTTTTGGGTGTCATGCAAAAGCACGGTGAGTACCTTTGATTTGCAAAAACGAAAAATGGAAAGGTTTGGATGTCGGTGTGAGATACACATATCCTCGTTCCCAACAAAAGATCGGACTTATAACTGTTGGACAGGCGGCTTTCTCTGTCCACCGTCGTCCATCTTTAAGAGTCCGAAAGATGAATGTGTTCTCACACACGTGTCTCTATCTTCAATCATATGGATGTCGTTACTTCTCATTAGAGACCCGATGACGGCTTCCATGGAGATTCACGAGACCGACATCCTTGCCCTTCCACATGGGGACTATTTGAACATCTGTTACTGACGAGTAATCCATTCATCCTTCATTAGGCTACATCGGTGAATACGAATTCGTTGACGACCACAGAAGCGGAAAGATCGTTGTTCAACTTTTGGGACGTATCAACAAGTGTGGTGTCATTTCTCCTCGCTTCAACGTTCCATTGGGACGTATCGAAACATGGGTCCAACAATTGTTGCCTGCTCGTTCTTTCGGTGTTATCGTTTTGACCACATCTGCCGGTGTCTTGGATCACCACGAAGCACGTAGAAAACACGCTGGTGGTAAGATCTTGGGTTACTTCTACTAAGGATGACGTCAGACAATGTTTGAACGTAATGATCATTTCATCAATGTTCAATCATGCTCGACGTTTATTCTTGTAGTTTTGATACGATTTCCACACATACATTGTACTTATGACATCAAAAGGGAGGATTTTCTTCCTCCGCGCATATCCATGCAATCTTATAAACTAAGACCATCATTCATTTCGAACACCTGCATGAAGAGGGGATCAGGAGTGTTATGTTACTCCGCCCATTAGCCTTTAACTTCAGTAAGCACAGCATTTCTTGTTCTTTGATTCAGTTCCGACAATTAAATCACGGTTCTAGCGCTTTTGTTTCTTCTGTTTGGTAAACGGATGAATGGTACCGTGAAATTACAAACATTCATACCAAGATTCAAAGAAAGGCAATTTCAATTTCGACGGCAAAGCATATAATCACGGGCGCATACGATCCGAAAAAGTAAACATTATTGCGCAATTTCAGCCGCCAAGTTGATGTGAGGAGTTTAGCCGCCATTCGTTTTCGATTTGAACGAGATTGTATTTACGTGGTGAAATGAGGCAAAACTGTACGGCGCCGAGTAAATAAAGCCAGAGACACACACACACACACACACAAAAGATGATGAAATGATCGGAGTACCTTTTGCCTGATCTTGTGCCTTTTTGAAAAGTGTGTACCTGATGCAAGGCATTAAAACTGTTTGAAAGAAAAGGCAAAAACGAAAATGGGTACGATTGGGCAAATTTGAAAATGCGCAATAATTTGGCTTAGATTTGGTTTCTACTGGTTCCCTCTTTATCACCATCATCTACTTTGTTAAAAATTGAGCTAAAACTAGATCAAGATCGTAAACAAACAAATCTTGACCGCAAACAAACAAACAAACAAACAAATAATAACAAGGGTGAATAGACTTCATCATTGCGTCTTCTCAAATCAAAAATCAAACAACTATTATATCTAACTTTTTCGACAAAAAAAAGATCGAAATGCGTCTTTATATTTCAGCTATACTCATAAGCGTTTTGGCTGCCTGTGCAATCGCAGCTCCCATTCCATCAAAGGAAGATCAACCGTTGGAAGCCAGGCAGTTCTGCAAGACAAGGTGCCCACCATTCTGACATGAAGTAACAAGATTTAAAACAAGGGGAAAAACTCTCCTCAATCAAAATCGCACAAATCGGTTTCTGGAAATGGTATTTAATTGTCACACAAACATACACAACATTCAATGGTTCTCCGTTCAAGTCAAAATCTTGCTTCCTTTCTTTCTTTCTTTGTTGCCAGCATGCATAACGCGAACAACTTTTATTCTTCTTCATCAATGACAATCTTTCCCCTCCAAATGTCTATCTTCTTTTATTGTTTCATATTGGCGTTTCGATTTTCAAATGTTGTAAATTTCATATGGTTATGATAATGCTTCTTTAATCAATCATGTTCGAGAATAAGAAATGGTCATAAATTGGATAGAATCATCATAAGAGAGAAAGCATAGGCTATAAAGGCTAGCGGACGGTGAAAGATTGTGAGCATATATAGAACAGATCAAAGAATTATTTAATTTGAGTGAGAAGAAGAAGAAGTAGCAGTAAGCTCAGTAGATTCACTGGGAGTATCACCATTTAATGGAAGCGTTGGCATGACGCATTGGTGTGTGCTTTCTTGATTTTCATGGATATCCTCGCTTTCTGTCGATGAACGGTTGTAGTCTTCCATGCTCACATTGCTTGCCACACCTAGACCTGCACGATATTCGCCCACATCAGTGAATCCTTCTGAAGAGCTAGGAGGGCTATGCAAATCCGAACAATCTGAGCTCGCATCGATGGAGGAATGACTGGATTCCAGTGCAAAACTTGGTGCCTTTCGATAGCGGGCAATGCTATTGTGCATCAATAATTCGACATACTTCATGCTTACCTCTGCAGCTATGAGCATTGCCCTTACCTCATCAGGCTCGTAATGGGGAAAGTCGACCCTCAAGACCACGTTACGCATGGCGACAGCATCATCTTCGCCGATACGTTCTTGTAAGTGGACAAACAAGGCGGAATTCCAATTTGCTGGACGGAATGGTCTTAAAGGCACGTCAAATGCTCGTTCCACTTGGGCAATCAACCCAAGCCGGAACCTTTGGTAATCCTCGTAAATGCGATTCAACGCTTGCACAAAGGCTTCATCGTATAAACGCATTTCAGCAGGATTGAAAGGCATCAGACGATCGTCATCAGGAAGCGGATGATAGGCATCATTGAAAAGCAAACAGTGTTGATCCGGATTGAGTGGGATGTTGAGTGTAGTAGTGCAGTACGGAATATCTTCCTCTGGGAAGAAGACACTACCGCTTTCGGACTCCTCATCTGAGACAGTCATTACCTCTGACGATGGACCAGCAACATTATTGACCACAGATGACTTTGGTGACTCGGGTACCACTTCACTAATGCCATTGTCGCTCTTGTCCTCAAACTTGCGGAATAAGAAGCAAGTCTTATGAATGGCGTTGTGACGCTGAATTTGATTGTCTACTTGAAGAATATTACGTTCTTGCTTCATGTAGGAAGAACGACGAGTGCTTCTTGGCATCTTGGCGGAACGGGCAGCTGCGGCTTTCTTCCTTTCCTTTTCCAAATCATCAGCAGCGGCACGAAGAGCGAGAGGAGAATGAAGATTGACTATAGTATCGAAACCCATACCACCAGAATGGAAACCTCTTCTGGAGAGTTGTAATCCTACATCAGTAGTTGATCGAGTATAGCTTGTCGCAATGTTTGGGTAGACTGAAGGTCGCTTAGAGCTTCTTGAGAATGCATGTCGGGACTGATTGTAGCCTATACCTTTTGATTCTTTTACTATTTGACGAGCTTTACGAGCGCCAGAAGAATCCGATCCTTGACGAAGACCAAAGAAGACGTTTGTAAAGGCTTTCTCGAAGGCATTCCTTGTGGCTGCTTCAAAAGACAACAAAGAGTTGAATCTACGACTTGCTTGTCTCAAAGCAAGGCCTTCCTTTATAGCTTGCAAGTAGGCTTTAGAAATTGATGTTGAGGGTGAGCTGCCACCCACACCTTGTCTTACTGCTCCACTACGCATGGCAGAGTTCTCTAACTGACCCAGAAGGCCAGAGAGAAAACCTGCTCCCGTAGCAGCCATGTTTGATCGAAATCGGTGATGAAGACAACCCGATGAAGAACAAAGATGATGGAAGAGAGTGAGAATGAAATGAATTCCCGATATACTCCTCATAATCAATCAGAACTCAATTCACTCGATTAGACTTTTTGACATGTCGGAAATGCATTTGTGCACTTTATCACTCAATGCACAGTCATTTTAAGTTTAGTCTTTGTTTCCGCCACTCACCCCGCTTTAACGCGTCTGTGCCTTTTTTATTTTTTAAATCACACCCGATATTGGCCTTTATGCAGGGTCAAGGATTTAAAGATTAGCATGTGATGTGAAAAGCAAACAAACAAAGGAAAGAATGGATCACTTTAAACTTATCAACTGACAATCATCACGAACTACTACTGTTTTGTGTGTTGATAGCATCGAACAAAGAATAAAAGCAGATATCAGCACTGGCCTTTGTTTCATTGAGAGTATATAGTGTCGTGCTTACATAATCTTCATCCTCTAAACGCGTGGGTCGCATGACAAAAGTAAGATTGGCGCGTGTATTGAGGGATGAGACTATTGGACCACATGGGGCAGAAAAGGAGAGGATGCATGTTGCGCTAGCGCGCAACATGCATCAGGGACCTCGCCAGCGAAGATTGCGCCAATGCTCCAATTCCTCTAAATCATGATAATCGACGTCCCTGCCTAAGATATGTGAGAGTGTTCTGAACCAATCTTCCGTTTGTGCCAGGGTAGGAGTACCGGGGGGATTACATAATACGTTCTCTATTGATAGCCTTAGATCCTCTATTCGAATTAAATTTATAACTGAGAGTATAATTTAACTAGTTTAAGACTCCTAAGGTACCTAAGATAAACCTATAGCTAGTTACTACTATTACTACTACTGATACTACTACTACTATTATTAAATATAGAGTAGAATTAGATTATTTAATAGCTCTTAAAATAATACTAAGAGAAGGGGTCGGTAGTCTAGTATACTTTTACTATCTCTTTTATATTATCGATAAATAATAGAGTACTACCTTCTCGATTTATAATTATCTATATTAAAAATATATTTATTATATCTACCTTAATATCTATTATAAAGATTAAAAGCTTAAAATATAATTATATTATTATAAACTAATTTTTTTTAAGATATTTTAATAGAGTTATAATAATATTAAATAAGTTTTTATAAATAAAAATAATATTAATTTAATAAGATATTTAGAAATAAATATATAATAGATATATAATATATATAATATATATTATATATATATATAATATATATAATAGATATATATTAATATAGATTATATATCTATTAT